TAAAGACCACCGTGACTAGCGACCAGCCTGGTACTACAGACCACCGTGACTAGCGACCAGCCTGGTACTAAAGACCACCGTGACTAGCGACCAGCCTGGTACTAAAGACCACCGTGACTAGCGACCAGCCTGGTACTACAGACCACCGTGACTAGCGACCAGCCTGGTACTACAGACCACCGTGATTAGAGACCAGCCTGGTACTACAGACCACCGTGATTAGCGACCAGCCTGGTACTACAGACCACCGTGATTAGCGACCAGCCTGGTACTAAAGACCACCGTGACTAGCGACCAGCCTGGTACTACAGACCACCGTGATTAGCGACCAGCCTGCTACTAAAGACCACCGTGATTACCGACCAGCCTGGTACTAAAGACCACCGTGACTAGCGACCAGCCTGGTACTACAGACCACCGTGACTAGCGACGAGCCTGGTACTACAGACCACCGTGATTAGCTATCAGCCTGGTACTAAAGACCACCGTGACTAGCGACCAGCCTGGTACTACAGACCACCGTGACTAGCGACCAGCCTGGTACTACAGACCACCGTGACTAGCGACCAGCCTGGTACTACAGACCACCGTGACTAGCGACCAGCCTGGTACTACAGACCACCGTGACTAGCGACCAGCCTGGTACTACAGACCACCGTGACTAGCGACCAGCCTGGTACTACAGACCACCGTGACTAGCGACCAGCCTGGTACTACAGGCCACTTTGCCAGGCACGGACGGTCTTGCGGTCTTGCTTGATGGTTGTGCGCTGCAACCCTCTAACTAAGGACCACCTGCCACTAAAGACCGCTTTGTCTGGCCCCAAGGGGTGGTCGTTAGTCACAGGTTTTACTGTAAATGCAAATGTGTTTCAGTATGCAAGTACAGTACGCACTGGACAAGTAGTACCCTGCTGGGGAAATCCCTTACTGGGTAAATTATCTGGCCAAAGCAGCTCTTCTGGATCTCTGAAGGAGCTTGCTCAGTGCCTTCCAAAATAGCAAGGGAAATACTCAGTAAAACCTGTGACTAACGGCCACCCCTTGGGGCCAGACAAAGCGGTCTTTAGTGGCAGGTGGTCCTTAGTTAGAGGTTTGCAGCGAGCAACCATAATGAATGCAAGACCGTCTGTGCCTGGCAAAGTGGTCTGCAGTACCAGGCTGGTCGCTAGACACGGTGGTCTTTAGTTACAGGTTTTACTGTAGATTATGACATCTTGGTGGGGAAATGGAAGAAGATTGAATATTTCTTCTATATGGATACTGCGTCTACCGACTGGGCAAGGGGATTGAACGATTGGCTACTACACGAGTGCCAAATTCAACTAAACCTTCTTCGTTATAGCACTGTTTCTTCTGCCTCTAGAAAAATAACTATGGCTAGTTGCCCATGGGAAAACCTCCAGATAACAATTTGCTGTTCTAGAGAACACACTGAATTTTGGTACAGAAAATTGTCCTACAAAAACTGCTACACTCTGGTGGAGAGCCAATGTTATCGAATGAGCTGATCGCAAAGTAACTGTGGTGTTTGTGGATACTATAGCGTAACTTGTACTTCGAAGTAGCTCTTTGCTCTTTGGTCCTCTTTTCTACTAAAATTGTTCTTCAAGTACTAAAATATTTAACTCGGATGGTGAGCCAATTAAATTATTGTGAAAAGAAGAAGGACAAAATGTTACGAGTTATGACTAACTGTCCACCAACGGATTTGGTTACGTTGGTGGACTGTTAGTCATAACTCGTAACATTTTGTCCTTCTTCTTTTCACAAGTACTAAAATAGTTCGACAATTTCATGTCGTGTACGGGAAACGCGTCGCGTCGCGAAAAGGTTGATCTAAGCTCAACTATTTCGCGTACGGGAAACCCATCGCGCGACGGTCGCGCGATGGGTTTCCCGTACTCGAGATGAAGTATGAATCGGCCTTAATGCACCACAGTCAGTGCTTATCCCTTCTCACATCAACAACGGAGCAGAATGTTCCAGTGTTCAAAGGGTATTTGCGTTGCTTAGGCCTGAGGCGGCATAGTACTGAGGTCTGACCTCTCTCAGTGCTGCTGCTACTCATGGTTGTCTTCAATTATCCTTGCCTGGCACTGGGTTGGTTTAGAGTTAGGATCTGACGGTGCTAAGTAGATATATTTCATACTAATCTCGTGTATACAATTCTGTGTTCTGTGCTTTCATTCTTTTGTTTGGGTTCCAGGCCTTGTACCAAGAATGATGCCGAGGCTGGTGTATTCTACCACCAAGACTGGTGCAGGGAGTGTTATGCCACGTGCTGGGCTTTGACGACCATGTCCACAGTTGGTATTGACGACTATGTCCACAGCTGGCATTGACAAGCATGTCCACAGCTGGCATTGAGAACCGTACATACGGCTGGCATTGATAAACATAGCCGTGGCACTGGTCATACAGCATCACCTCTTGCAGGCGAGCTGTTCGGTTGTCACACGGGGATCACACTGGACACCATGCTATATGAGTGTGAACACAGAAGCAGTGCAGTTTGAACCAACGCCTGTCCAAACGTCCACCGCACAGACCCCGCAAGCGTTGGAAGGACTCTGCAAAGTCCGACTTGGTAGCTGTGGGCGTTCTTCTGGAGCAGCTTAGTACCATCGTCCAGGATCGGTAGGGCTGGCGGGTCACCTGTTGTGACGCTGTCGACGCTATAGTACAATCTCGTGTGGAGCCTGCGGCCAAGCCCCTCATCTTTGATACCTGGATGCGAAGTTTTCGGCGGCCACAAGACATTGCGAGGCATGAATGTAACCCGTGCGCGCTGAGTCTGACATTCTGCACCCGGTGGACAACATGCCTCCTGGTCTACGGCTTATGGGGCCACATAGCCAGTCACAGCAGTGGAAGAAGGGGGGAAGTACTACAACACATCAGTTACGGCACTGCAATGAGCATCATGCACTGAGCAGAATCAGCATTCATGACCCAGCTGGTGAGGTATAGTTCATGACCTAGCTGGTGAGGTGTAGTTGTGTGCCGCATGCCAGTTGGACAGCATCCACTTTTTGCTTTCTATTTTCAGAGAAACGTTGACAAGCATTGGATGTGGCGGCGTATTGTTTGTCCAGATCTGCTCAAGTGTGTTCGCTGTTGAGTTGCCGTGTGTTGTCTCCTTTTCAGAACCTGAGCCTTTTCAATGAGACCTATCTCATTCCACATACAGACCGTACTTTACCGTCGAAAGCCAACTGGAGATGCTTTCCAGCTTGCAGGATTTGTATGCACACAGCATTAGTATTTTGTACGGACAATACAGATAAACGGCACCCATGTAATCACGTGCAAAACGTCTACAGTCTCAGCTGAATGTCCAAGTCCGATGGTCAGCAAACAAATCCTTACCACGAGAGCAACTTTGTGCCACTAGCCCATGTGAATAGCAATATTTCTCTATCTGTATTCGGTCTTCTCTACCTACTGATATCAACTTGAAATATTCCGGGCTCCTGGTTTGACGATTGGTCGGTGTGTTTCTGTATGTAATGATCATGTGCGAATACATGCGAGCGGGCATGTGTTTGCCAGTGCACTGTGACTCAGACATTGTGGGGATGCCTGTTGCATTGTAAGCGCTTTGCCCGTGCTCTGGCAGTCAAGTCACACAGCTGCATGGCGTAGTTCTTCAATGGACAACACGTTCATGGCCTAATCTTGTCGTAGGTCTGTTGGGCGATTGTCCGCCTGGTGTATGCTGTGAAGGGCTCACAAGGAATCTCTATCTATCTATCTATCTATCTATCTATCTGTCTGTCTGTCTTGCAGAGCTCACTGACATGTCAGTTTGAGCACTCTGGCAAGGAACGCTCGGGCCTGACTGGAAATTTTTATTTCCATTGCTATCAGGTTCGGCCTCATTTCCTCTGTGCTGCGCTGACGAGTCCACAAAGGACGAAACAGTTCTGTCCGCAGATTGATTATCTGTCTGTCTATAATATCTATCCTCTCTCATCATGCATGCGTCACACTCTCATTTCTATTATTCCATTACATGCTTCACAATCTCATGTAATATCTCTTTCCTTTCTTCCTCTCTTTTGTGAGAGCTTGGACAATCCACTTGTCCAGGCAAGAAGGCAGCAATGCCTGTTCATTCTGACGAAGTAAAATATAATTATACCAACCAACCAACCAACCAACCTTGCAAATTCTGTAGCCAAGAATAACGAATATGAAGCACACTGTGCCTTGCTCTTTGAAAGATATGCAGTGAAACATTGAAATACCTCTATTCGTATTTCACTACTATGGGTCGTATGGATAGCTGGTTGGTAAAGTGATCGGTTCAAGTATTGCCTAGTAATGGTTCAGGCTGGTTACGTTCACTACGGGTTCGATTCCTGTTCTTTGCAACCTTTTTTGTTCAGTGGAACTCAGAGTCATGTAACTCGCACTAGCAAGCATTTGCATGAAACATATGCTGTGTGAATCTTGGGAAGTGACACCATTGCGTGAAACTAATACTTGGTTCAAGTGCAACTGCAGTTCGCCCCCTCCTGGGACTTGTAAACTAATGACAGCAATCATGATGCATGGTTTCGCTGTCTGGCTTGTGTGCCGAGGTATAGTATGGTGACTCAAAGCGATGTGTGAATGCGGCAGCCATTGAAGGAAACATTCAGAAAATCAGAGAATTACAAGAGCTTGACAATAATAAAGAGAGAGAAGAGGGACAAGAAGGAGAGAAAACACCATTTTTCCCAAACTTTCAAGAAATATTTGCACATAGTTTCTCTCAAGAAGGTGAGTCGATCCCCACCCACCATCCTACCGATACTTTTCTTTTATAGTCCCTTTCCCAAGGAGGTGACAATCTCACACGTCTCGCACCCAATAGAAAGCCGAGAAGGTCTCACACACAGTCATGGTGGTGACAACCTCACACCTCTTGCATCCTGTAGAGAAGATCTACCACATAAGCCAGTCAGATCACACCAGCACCTTAACCCAAAACAGCACCAACACAAGTCATGTCAGTGTTGATGCCTCAAAGACACCAAGCTCTACAATAACGGAGCATCGACACCACTTCGAAATAAGTCCAAGTACCACTTGGAGATAGTATTGAATGTACACCCGGTGTCAGAATATCATGTAGAATGGCAGAGCACCGAATGGCAGACCATCGAATGGCAGAGCACCGAATGGCACAGCAAGGAATGGCACAGCATAGAATGGCACAGCATAGAATGGCAGAGCATAGAAAGGCAGAGCATGGAAAGGCAGAGCATAGAACGGCAGAGCAGTGAATGGCAGAGCATTGAATGGCAGAGGCAGAGCATTGAATGGCAGAGCATAGAATGGCAGAGCATAGAGTGGCAAAGCATAGAATGGCAGAGCATAGAATGGCAGAGCATAGAACGGCAGAGCATAGAACGGCAGAGCATTGAATGGCAGAGGCAGAGCATTGAATGGCAGAGCATCGAATGGCATAGCATCGAATGGCAGAGCATCGAATGGCAGAGCATCGCATGGCAGAGCATCGAATGGCAGAGCATCGAATGGCAGAGCATCGAATGGCAGAGCATCGAATGGCAGAGCATCGAATGGCAGAGCATAGAACGGCAGAGCATCGAACGGCAGAGCATTGAATGGGAGAGCATTGAATGGCAGAGCATTGAAGGCAGAGCGTTGAATGGCAGAGCGTAGAATGGCAGAGCATAGAATAGCAGAGCACACAATGGCGGCCCCAGGGCGCTGGGCATGCAGCCGTGAGTAAGCATACGGTTGATCTACACACATTCATTTATGCGCTGCAGCGCGCTGGTCGGATCGGATCAACATCAGCACTGCTTCCGGCGTTCTGTACGCACCGAGGGCGCGGACCCTGGTCATTCGACTGGATTTCCATGTCCACGACAGTACATAGCTGCAATTATACAAGCACTTATCCCATCCTGGCCCGCACTGATTGTCAGATCCAGTAAAGTCTCTCGACATCAGCATGGGTCCTGGTAACAACGCAGGGCAATTCTTCAGGATGACGATGAGGATGAGGATTCTGTACGTCCTATCCCAGGTGAGACCAGTCCACGACGGTGCTGTTCTTGCTGTTGAGGCACACCAACCTTGCCAGCAGCCATAGCTGTACCACAGTGGTCAGATTGGAGCTTGTATCAGTGGCTTGGCTTGGCTTGGCTTGGCTCATATCATAGTTCCATAGAGACAATTTCATCTTGAAGTGTGCTAACAGGATGATGTCGCCAATCAGACATGCCTTCAGGGCCAAGTAGACTGATGACGTCATTAATCATGCATGCACGTATGTCAAATAGACTGATGACGTCATCGATCATACATGCATGGGCGTCCAATAGACTTATGACATCACTGATCAGGTAAGCGCGCACAGCCGAGTGGTTCTACTCCATATGTTTCGACTGCATGGGTAGAGGATGTTTAATGGGTTATGCGCGCACAGGAGGAATAGCGGTCACGCATCAGTTCGGATCCGGAATAGCAGTGAATGGCTGTTGGGTGCATCACCAGATGGAATCTCCTGCAAAGATGCATGCGCTGATCGAGTCCAAAGCAGGGCAAAGTGGCGCGTTGAATATCAGACTCTGGTTACTAGGTGACGTAGAGCTAGGGTCTCGACGACATCACTGGCGACATCACTGGCAACATCGCTGGTAACATTGGGTTTCAGCTGCGGACCATCACACTCCATTCTGGAGTCTGTAAAGCAAAACAGATTGCAGGAAACAGAAGAAAAATGCAACAGAATCATTTCCTATTGCTGACATTGCTAGACCTATGCATTGAGCAGATTTGTCAAGCAAGGAGGAGGGTAGTGCATTCGTCTCATCACTAACACGGACGATTCCATGTGAAACCTGGACAAAGTGCATGTCAGCACTTTTCCATACTCCGAGTCTACTAATTGTTCATGGCATGACTACTGAAAACTAGCTCAACATTAATTTTTGTTGGTATCTCGCACGTTACAGGGTAATAGCAGGCTAAGCAGGCAATTTGGGTTTTAGTGAATCATGTACCAGCAAGCTTCAGAAATCAATAAAAAGATAACAAAACTCCCATTAATGCAAGGCATCCCGTATTTGCCGGAGTATAGTGCACACTTTGGAGGCACTACTTCTGGCCCCAAATCGCTGGTGTGCAATATGCTCCGAATATGAAAAAATGAACTTGTACAATCATGTACATGTACTTCGAAAGGACGAAAAGTAGTGCAATGCATCAAACTGCTACGACGTGTGCCACCTCTGACCTTGCGCAAGCCATATGCATGCACATGTTTAGGACAATGGTCACACTATAGTACTGTCTTTATGATTACTAATGCTCTCAAGTCTAGGCTCTGCAATATACTCCGCATATACCTTGAAAAAGGTGAATTGCCAAAACATTGCTTAAAAATGGGGGTGCGCATAAATCAGCAGCATTTTACTCAGGTGTGCGTTACACTCCGGCAAATAGGGTAACTCAATCTGCGCCATTTTTAAGTTCCCACACAAACATGATCAAAGGTACTTCAAAAGGAGAATTAAAGTGAAAAAAGAAGGACCAAAGATTTACAAGATATCCGTTGTTTGTGTCCAACACCAACACATTTCTAAGCATGATACCGGTGAATCAGGATGTGTTGTGCTAATTGTTACATGTTCAGACTCACCATTATCATGCTAAAAATGTGTTAGTGTTGGACACAAACAACGGATAATTCGTAAACCTTTCGTCCTTCTTTTTTCACTTAAATCCTTGGCTCTCAACCCGAGTCTTTAAAGGTAGAATTGATCATTTAGACAAAGAAAGATAAAGCATGCTGGCTGTTACAATGCGTGGATGTTCGTTTAAACGAGGCGTTGCATACTCGTGTTAACTTGCGACGGAAACTCCGTTGCACACCAAACCACACAAGTGCTAAAAAAGAAGCTGATCTGGACGGGCATCTTCATACACTAGTCACTTGTTAGCATAAGAGCTATGTGGCCGTTTGGCCCAAAGAATTCAGCTGGGGCTTTGCAAGGGAAGAAGCCATTCCCAGGCAAAATGGAGAGTGAACGGGCACATATGTAGACTGGCATATACAGTACTGTTCAATGAAATCCAGTCTCGGTATTCAAGTGTGCGCCTTGCATCATTTCGCAGCCCAGTGTTTGCAGGTTTATGGCTGCGCAACGCCCAGCGCTTACCTCAGTGACCCGACTGGATTTCATTGAGCAGTGCTGTACGTGTATTATATGTATGCTGTGCCGTGCTTTGCTGTGCCGTGCCGTGCTGTACCGTGCTTTGCTGTGCTGTGCCGTGCTGTGCTGTACCATGCTGTGCTGTACCGTGCTGTGCTGCACCGTGCTGTGCTGTACCGTGCTGTGCTGTGCTGTACCGTGCTGTGCTGCACCGTGCTGTGCTGTACCGTGCTGTGCTGTACCGTGCTGTGCTGTACCGTGCTGTGCTGTACCGTGCTGTGTTGTGCTGTACCGTGCTGTGCTGTACCGTGCTGTGCTGTACCGTGCTGTGCTGTACCGTGCTGTGTTGTGCTGTGCTGTACCGTGCTGTGTTGTGCTGTGCTGTACCGTGCTGTGTTGTGCTGTGCTAACTGTGTTGATGAGTCGGCAAGGGACGAAGCGGTTCTGTCCGCCCATCGACTTACACATACGAGATAATCTTTTTTCACCTGCCCGTCATATTCACACAGTCCTGCCCCATATCACTAGCAGTGAAGACAAAACTTCCCAGGTGATAAAACCAAAAAAGATAGCGTTGGAAACGGAAAACAACGCCCAAAATAGACAAATTTTACTGTCAGCGTGGCACTCGTTCTAAAAGATCCTGAATCCTCAGGAATGCCACCAACTTCTGGAATGAAGGCACAAACATTGCAACGTACCTAAAGTAGTTTAACACACTGCCCATACATTGCCCATAAATATCCACAATTTTCAGAATCTGCACGGAGTGAGAAGTGTCTAATTCGTTTTGAAAAGCACCCCAGTGGATTCCAAAGCACAAGATAACTCGTATGCAACTGCGCTAGTTTGCGCATTGCGTATTAATGACTGATTAAAGTTTCGTAGCTCCATTCAATAGTGTGGACTGAGCGGTTCATTTTGCGCTGCACTTCCCAAGTCCCAGGACCATGTGTTGTATGGTGCTGTATTTGACCATGTGTTGTATGGTGCTGTATTTGACTGTCACACTGCACTACAGAAGGACATGTACAGGAAAACCTGATTTAAGCGACCACCCCACGGTGCAAGCAAAAGCGGTCGTGAAAGCCAGGTGGTCTTTCGAACCAGGTCCAACGGTTTCAGTGTAGAGCTGCCCGTGCATGGGAAAAATGGTCGTTAAGCGCAGGCGGTGGCTAAAACCAGGCGGTGGCTAAAACCAGGCGGTGGCTAAAACCAGGCGGTGGCTAAAACCAGGCGGTGGCTAAAACCAGGCGGTGGCTAAAACCAGGCGGTGGCTAAAACCAGGCGGTGGCTAAAACCAGGCGGTGGCTAAAACCAGGCGGTGGCTAAAACCAGAGGTGGCTAAAACCAGAGGTGGCTAAAACCAGAGGTGGCTAAAACCAGAGGTGGCTAAAACCAGGCGGTGGCTAAAACCAGAGGTGGCTTACACCACAGGTTTTACTATATGTACTGGGTACCGGGTAGTCAGTGAGGCATCTTCACACCTTCCCTTTTTTTGGCGGGGTAACGGCGTCTTTTACGGGCAAGATAAAGTCATGTAGACGTGAAAAAAATTGAGATACCATGAAGGGTAAAATAGAATTTTATTCAAGTATAATACATTGGAAAACTCCAGAAATTCCACGTAAAACGGACGAAATTCTTCACACCTTTAACACAGTAAAGTCAGTACCACCTGTATGACAAGTACACTGTACAGTGAAATCTCTCCAAGGCGACCTCTCAAGGGACGAGAAAAAGTGGTCACCGTGGCCAGGTGGTCTTCTTATCCAGGTTCAGTGGGTCACGTGACCATATCCACATGTGATACATCATTTCGATCAGTGTATAACAGTGCACACACCTATGCTACTCTAGCACGACTTATTTGCCTGGGGCCCTCAGACCTGTCAAGTGCCGTGCATGCACCATGCACATCTGCACTGATGTGTAGATCTACCATGCATGGTACACAATGCAATGCATACATTTACATGTACTAGCACTGTGCAGCGCGGTCCCGGGTGGTCGTCGGTCGCGTTGAGCGAGTGGTCGCCTTATCCGAGCTGTTTTGAATGTGGATGCGTCCGTGACAAGAAAATGTGGTCGCCGTGGTCGAGTGGTCGCCATATCCGAGTGGTCGCCATTACAGGTGTTTACTGTGCATGTGTTCAATGCATGTATACGCATATGCTGTGTCAGTGACTTTGACTCGTATTCCCCTGATTACCAGTCTTCTTGAGGTAGACTGGTTCAGACTTTAGGTTCAGTACTACCGCGGTGATGCGGGCGAGTACCACTTTACATGCAATGAATTGTGCCGACACTCCCGGTGAATGGGCAAACTCACTTGCTCGGTGTGAGAGTAACAAGGATGCGGTTTATGGGGTTATAGAGCCTTTCTTGTTGAGAGACTTATCCCCTCTCCCCTGACTCACTTGTGAGGTCTGTATTCGACACTGAGGATAGTATATGGGCGAAATGGTGGCCCGCCGATGCGAATGTCTTTGCTTGATGTGTTCCTGAACACGTCAGGTGATGCGGCCGCAAATCCGGCTACTAGTAACTTTACTTCCTGTTTCCTACTAGCAGGCACTGGCTTTGCATGTTTTTTTTTCAGAGAAGTGGGAAGTGATCACTTTACATGTCTGACTTGTAAATTATGCACGAGTTGTCCTCCCCAAAAAGGTCTACTAGACCCCCTTTCCCAGACCCTCTCCCCCCCCCCCCCCTCTTCCATTTCTTACAAGTAGAACAAATTTTCTTTCAGACCGGTTGAAATGTTGCCCTAGCATACACCTTGGAACCGCTATTGGAAATGCTGTCTTTTCCCCCCGGTCTGCAAATCGCTTGTCTCTCTAGAATTATCGAAAGTTGTTGTGTAAGGCCAAGGGAGGGTTGGCTTTGAAGCTATTCGGCATGTTCTCTCTCACGCAGCTCGTAAATTTTCCAACACATGAGTCATTGTCTGGCATGGGGGCAGCTCTCGACCTAGTTGTCACTGATATACCGGACTCTATATCCTGCCTCCGTGCTACAGCACCACTTGGTCAATCCGATCATTCTATCGTGGTTGGCCACATCCGTACTGTACCCTGCCCAGAAATGCCCACATACCGTTCTCGTGATGCCCGTTCGACTCCCCTGGATGTCCCTGATTTTAGTGTATTTTCTTTGGATTCTCTAGACAGCAACACTGTCGCGAGTATGAATACTGCCATGTCCCACATACATTGGCCAGCAGCTTTGAGCCTGGAGAGGCGCGACCCTGACATATCTGTGGACAACTTTTACTCTATCTTCCATAACATCTGTGCAAGATTTCTGCCCAGGCAGAAGCCGCCGGCTGTCAAGCGTATCCATATGAACCCCCCCTGGCTGACCAGTACCCTCCGACATCAAATAAAGAAAAAACGAGATTCGTATAGTGTTTACCGAAAGTTTCCCTCGGCTGACAACTTCGCTATTTACAGACGAGAGCGAAACGTTACTCGCAATATGTCTCGAACTGCCCATCGACTGTACATCTCATCCCTAAGTGCATCCACGGCAAGACCCGCATCACCAAGTTTATTCCAGTTTGTCCGGAAGCTTCGATCTCCCCAAGGCAACAGCAGAACGACTGTAACTCAGCTCTCAGTCGCTGGTACTCTATATTCTGACCCTGTGGATGTGGCAGATGCTTTGAACGAACAGTTTATTGGTTTTGGAACACAAGATGATCCTTCATGGAATGTGCCAGACTTCAAGCCACCCGACGCCCCATCACGTGGAAGAACTACACCTACGTTGCAAGATGTCACCACCACGCCTTCTGCTGTGGCAAAGCAAATCCGCAACCTTAAGACCCGAAAGGCTGCGGGAGCGGACGGTATTTCTCATGAACTCCTGAAACTATTTTGTTCCAGTATTGCATACCCTCTCAGCCTCATCTTTAACCTCACTTTTGCAACTGGTGCTTTCCCTGCTATTTGGAAACACGCAATTGTAACTCCGGTCTTTAAGAACAAGGGAAGTAAGCTCGATGCATCGAATTACCGCCCGATTTCGTTATTGTCAACAATCTCCAAGCTGTGTGAACGTATTATGTACAACCACTTATACACTTACCTGTCTCCTGTTCTACATCCGTCCCAGTCTGGATTCCGAAAAGGCGACTCTACGTCCTGGCAGCTTCTCAGACTTGTTCAATCGATGTCTTCTGTTCGTGAGAACGGCCATTACAGCATGCTATGTTTCTTTGATCTAAGCAAGGCCTTCGACACCGTATGGACACGCGGGCTCCTATACAAGCTGTCGCGCCATGGAATCCATGGTACTTGCTTCACGTGGCTCAGTACTTACCTGACGGGCAGACAGCAAAGGGTGCGTGTCGGCTCTGCTCTGTCTGCCAAAGGGCATGTACGGTCTGGAGTTCCTCAGGGATCAATCCTGGGGCCTCTCCTCTTCCTTATGTATGTAAACGATCTGGCAGAAATGGATCACACATCACTATATGCTGATGATACAGCACTACTTGTGACAGCACCCACTCTCCCCGAGGCTAGTGCCAAGTTACAGTCTAACATAGATGGCGTTATTCATTGGATGGAAAAATGGAAATTGCAACCCAACTCTTCGAAAACTGCTGTAATGTGTATCCCCCCCAGTTGTTCCTGTGACCTATCTTCATTAGTAACCAGTCCCTTCACCTTTCCAGGCACCACAACCCCGCTCTGCATCGTTGAAAAACACAAGCATCTTGGCGTCATTATTGACCAACACTTAACCTGGAAATCCCAGATCGAAAATTTAGACAGCCGTGTTAGCTCAGTAATGGGATTTCTCTCATCACACATCACCCACCTCCACACCGACTGTCGCCATGTTATCTACACATCTTACATTCTGCCTATTTTTGATTACTGCTGCATAATTTGGGCTGGCATTTCTAAAACACTGATTGCTCGACTCGAAGTTATGCATAGGCGTCTTTTGAAAATATTATTTCGGCTTCCTCGCCTGACTCCAAGCGCAGACTTATACCGCCTTGCTTCTGCTGTGCCGCTCTCGGTCCGCGTGCGTTTTTTGGCATGCCAGACAATTCATAAAATTAAGCTGGGCATTGCTCCTCTTCATGCTCTCTCCTGCCTAAGCTGGTTTGCTCAATCTCAAGACATGCGCACCAGAAACTCTCTCCGCTTCCCTATTGCGCGGTCTGCCTCTATGCAAACATCTCCTCTCTTCCTTGCTTACCGCCATTGGTCTCTCCTCCCACAACATCTAAAATCCTGCCAATGTTACAATACATTCACACAGCTACTGCAGAATGCAACATACTAGTTGATATCCAGCCCTGCCCTAGCTTCTTTTGCTTTTCAGTTCCCCTTTCATTCTTTTTCTTTCCCCCCCCCCCCCCCCCCTCTAGCTGTATTACCGCCATGGCTGGCTATCGCCCACATCACCATTTCATTGGCTAGTGCCACGTGATTGTGAATAAATAAATAAAATAAAAATAAGTGCATTGCTAACTCCACTTATAGCAAACTCGCATAATTATTACAAATTTCGTCATGATATAGCCGGAACCGCTGTCCATGTCCCATGTTGAACCCACAGTGTACGTGCATTTCTGTTATAACGAACTTTGCCTATAAAGAACTTTGCCTCTAAAGAACTAATCCTCCTGCACAATGGTGTTCGTCATATCAGGAGTCGACCTTATGTTGGCCCAGGGTTACATAGTACTGTTACACAGTTTCTCATTTTTTTCCAGGGTGCGACAGAGCTCTCGGCCATTGAAGGAAATGTTCAGTCACCTCCACCATTACACTGCGCTCTTTAGCCGACTAGACCCTCCTGCACACAACCATCACCACTGCGAGGACACTTCCACATCTACCTTCACTGATGAGCTATGACTAGCGAAACAGCTGTCTGAAGGAATTATCAATATCGTCTACGGACGTGTCCTCGCAGTGGTGATGGTTGTGAGCAGGAGGGTCTAGTCGGCTAAAGAGCGCAGTGTAATTATGGTGGAGGTGACTCAACAGACAATTTCTCAGTTCCTTCAAAACGGGTTTATTCAAACACTACTCTCAATTCACAGTTTCTTACCTCATGGTTGCGATGGCGAGTATCAATGCTACTGTCGTGTTGAAAGCAAGGGGCCGGGGGCTGATGCAAACCAGGTCCCTAGTACTTTCGGTGCTGCAAAGACTACGAGGCTATCGCGTTCATTTCGCCTTTGAATTCACGTCTTCGAGTTTTCAAACTTGGAAATGTTCTTCACATTTCTCGTAAGGACATGACTGAATGAAAGAACTCTACCGCCTAGCAGCCAGCTAGTCGCACCGCATTGTCTCCCCGGGTTCTGAAAAAGCAAGTATCCTACAAGAATACAAAATTCTGGGGAAATTGTGAACATACCCAGCAACAACTAACTACATGCACCGGTAACTAATAGTAGTTTTGCTTGTACTTAGTTGTAGGCTAGGCTCTCTGCCCCTCTGGTTCAAAATGTTTTCCTCACAGTCACAGGCTAGATGATAGAAACAGCGCTAGCGCTAGCGCCTGCATGCAGAGACTGTCAACTAAAAACGTTAGACACTGAAAACATGCTACTATTTTACTAGTACTGCATGACTGTACTACAGTACTAGTACTTCTTTTTGCTAGTGTTCTGGCCAGGGAGTCGTAGATCTACGACTCCCTGGTTCCGGCCTTGTTCAGAAGTGAAAACTAGTGTCAGGCCACTGGCGCATGGCACTGATCATCAGGAGTCGTAGATTCTACTTCTTTACAGTAAGATCGGGCGCCGAAGAACGCAGGGGCTCGAGCGCAGCCTAGGAAAGTTCTTAAAGGGGAAGTTAAGGCAAAAACTAAAATTTCACCAGTTGTAGTCTTCGGGGTGCTGAGTCGAATGGTCTTGGTCCGAGAAAGCTGAGACGCTCCCTTCCTACTTGAATCCCAATCGAACTCGCGCACTTCCACCGAAACTGGGTGACTGCGCCCTACGAGATGGGGATTTGTATGCAAAATGTCACTAAAAGCGCCATTTCGTTCTTATAAAAGCACGGATGACCGCGATTGGCCCATATGTTGTAGTCTTTTGGACGCTGAATCGACTGGTTTTGGTCCGAAAAGGCTGCGATGCAGCGTTCCTCCTTTATTCCCAATCGAACATGGTTGAAGAAGCGGTCACGTGCTCCTGGGTGCCAAAATCACCTGGTCACCACGCCAGCAGGCGACAACTTTCACACCAAGGTTCAACTCGAGTGACAGGACTGCACCCAAAAAAGGTCAAAACAGGCTGTAAGTTGTACCCTGCAGGCACGGTGACCAGGTGACTGGTGTACGCAGGAGCACGTGACCGCTTGTTCAACCATGTTCGATTGGGAATTAGGGGCGAACGCTGCATCGCAGCCTTTTCGGACCAAAACCAGTCGACTCAGCGTCCAAAAGACTACAACATATGGGCCAATCGCGGTCATCCGTGCTTTTATAAGAACGAAATGGCGCTTTTAGTGACATTTTGCATACAAATCCCCATCTCGTAGGGCGCAGTCACCCAGTTTCGGTGGAAGTGCGCGAGTTCGATTGGGATTCAAGTAGGAAGGGAGCGTCTCAGCTTTCTCGGACCAAGACCATTCGACTCAGCACCCCGAAGACTACAACTGGTGAAATTTTAATTTTTGCCTTAACTTCCCCTTTAAAAAATGTTGATTCTAGCCAGACCGTTCTTATTCACACGCGCGCGGCGAGTCGAGTGACGTCATGACGTTTGTCATGTACATGTACATGTACATGTACATGTAGTGCAATGTAGTACTTCTAAATTAGTGGGTGTCGTAAATGGGAATGACTGTACATGTAGCAGTTACTGTTTGCACGTGTACATGACATGTACTCACCTCCCATACATGTACAATGTAGATCTACCTACAATGTAGATCCAGTGTTCTTAAATCTGATAATTCTAGCCTGGACTGTTCTTAAATTTTGCCGGTTTTCCAGCCCGGGTGTTCTTCGGCGAGGTGTTCTTCGGCGCCCGATCTTACTGTACTCGTCACCAGGCCAGATTCGAGCCCTCCCCCCCCCCAGGGGATTACCCCTCTTGGTCCCATTCAAGGCCTGTTCGCATCTTGATCAGAAAGTAGCGATTTCCGGGTTCACATGGTTCAGTCGCACGTTTTGTGGGGGACCATACTATAAAAAAAAGTACAATGACGTGCATGTCGCATAGATCCACGTTTACATGTTTTATGAAGCCACGACGTTCTGGATAATGAATGACATTACACATGCATGTACCGGTAGATCTACATGAAGTCAAGACTCTACATACAGTATTAGGACTTAGTAGTGCAAAACTGACAGTACAAAGTTAGTTATCTTGATTTCCTGAAACGAAACTCGGTCGGTGAACACGCTATCGTCTGAGCCTGAGGTCAGTGAGGAATAATTATTATTGCTAAGTATCGTAGTGAGGCGAGTGCTAAACTACCACAGAGCTCTCTGGCACTACACGGTACACAGTCTACAGACTCGTCAGAGTGTGCTGTAATCTGTTGGTTTGCCTCGATCGTTTTACCGCGTCGCTGCCGCTGGCGATTTCTGCTTGTCTGCTACCTACCGTACCGGTAAACTCAGTGAAGAGTGAAGCGGAACAGCGGTGCCCAGGCGTAGCGCGGCGTTGGCTGGTGCAGGAGTCCGGCGGTGGAATATCACACGGTAAGTAGCCTACCGGTATATGTACTGTACACCCAGCCACAATATCCGGGAGCTGCAGCTGAGTCAGATCGTGAGCGGGGGACCTGCACGCCTGGTGTAACAGTTGGACCGGCAGGTGTGGTGTTGGACCGGCACGCCTGGTGTTGGACCGGCAGGCCTGGTGTTGGACAATCCCTGAAACATTCCCGTGAGCAGATAACGGAACACCATATTTCACAGGTACAGTAGGCCCTTTCTCATCCTGCAGCAGTTGTGCTACGGAAATTCTGCTGGAGTAGGGAAGGTGCTGGATTAGAAAATCTGATTGACTGCTGCACTGTCCATGAAAAGGAAATTTGGGTTGCTGGACAATATGCTGAGAGTGCTGGTTAAACCGTTTAATAGGGACGACTGTGCCCTGCTCCTGCGCGGTTCATTCATTTAATAATAAATATTATCATTGTTTGGCCACAAGCGAAAGTTTCATTCAAAGTAAAGTGCCTGAAACCCGAAAGCCTGTCAAGACAGGTAGGTTTTACTTTGCTAAACCTATTAACTGGTAGGTTTTACTTTGCTAAACCTATTAACTGGTAGGTTTTACTTTGCTAAACCTAATAACTGGTAGGTTTTACTTTGCTAAACCTATTAACTGGTAGGTTTTACTTTGCTAAACCTATAACTATGGACTAGTGGATATTTCCCATCTCGTTCGTTATCAATGTGCTCCATGCAAGTTGGTCATCAACGTGTTTACACAATGTATGTGCGTGTGTCCACGTGCACATGTGTTTGTATGTCTGTGCGGGGAGGTCGTAAAATAGAGAAGGTCAAATGTGTTTGTATGTGTGTGTGTGTGTGTGTGTGTGTGTGTGTGTGTGTGTGTGTGTGTGTATGTATGTGTGTGTGTGTGCGCGCACGCGCGTATGTGCGTGTGTGCGTGTATCATTCTATTGATGTTGTCTGTTACTGATACAGACGGAAAATATCAAGCGGCATTCTAGTAGCTTATGACATATCACTGAAATCACGTTGCATTGCAACAGCCAGAAACCGCTGTCATGGCGAATCCTGGACTTGGATGGCGGATGCTGTTTGCCATCGTCAACATAGTCCTTGCCATCGCTACAATGCCTTGGTGTGAAGGTGTGCTTTTTGGCTTTGCCTGGGGGGGGGGGGGGGGTGGTGGTGCACATTCATTCTGATTGTGTGTGAGTGTGTGTGTGTGTGGGGGGGGGGGGGGGTGTGCATGTGTGTGTGTGTGTGTGTGTGTGTGTGTGTGTGTGTGTGTGTGTGTGTGTGTGTGTGTGTGTGTGTGTGTGTGCGCGCGCGCATGTGCGTATGTGTGATAGGGGTGGGGGATTGAAAGTGTTGGTGCATGTGAGACTATGACTGATTATATTGGGGGGGGGGGGTAGGAGAGGGGGGGGGGTTGGAGAGGGGTAGGGGGGGGGGGGGTGACACATTCATGAACATTGATGTGTTCGTGCGTGGGTGTGGGTGTTGAGAGAGAGAGGGGGGGGGGGGGTAGAGGGGATGGTCACATGTGTGTGTGTGTGTGTGTGTATGTCGCGTAAGTCTGGGGGAGTGGAATAGATGGAGCATGTGTGTTCTTGAGTGTACTTTATATATCCATATGTATAGACCAGGATGGAGAGCCACTGATTAATTTCTAGTAAAGAGAAGGACCAAGGAACTACAAGTTTCGCTATAATGTCCACTAACACCACTGCAGTTACTCCTAGGTTTTCATATAACTTAGAACCTTCCAAGTTGGAAGGCTGTTGGAGTGCGCACCCAAGACATGCTAGAGCTGTTAGCCAGTTAGTTGTAGAATGTCAGTACTATCGGCCAGTTTTGTGCAATGTCATCGCATGGGCCGATTGTCAAGTAACTGGTGGTGTTAGTGGATATTATAGCATAACTTGTTGTTCCTTGGTCCTGTTCTTTACTATAAATACACACAAATGTGGGTGTATATGTGTGTGTATGTATATATGTGTGTGTGTGTGTGTGTGTGTGTGTGTGTGTGTGTGTGTGTGTGTGTGTGTGTGTGTGTGTGTGTGTGTGTGTGTGTGTGTGTGTGTGTGTGTGTGTGTGTGTGTGTGCAATGGGCATGTCTGAGGTCTGAGGTGTGTGTGTGTGTGTGTGTGTGTGTGTGTGTGTGTGTGTGTGTGTGTGTGTGTGTGTGTGTGTGTGTATGTGTGTGTGTGTGTTCGCCTAATATCGATCATCGAATTCGATGATGGGCTTTCCAAAAAATTTAAGGTGTGTGTATGTGTATAGTTTGTTGGCTAGGTTTTATATACTTCTCCTTCTGTGCACGTGCATTTATTGTAGGGTTCATCCACAGCGTTAGTAAGTATGAGCATGGCCGTATGACGGACACAATATCTGAACCGGGGGAGGAGAATCTCACCCGTAACTCCGTGGCAACATGTGCAGGTGAGATGAACAGTTTACCAAAGTACTGAAAACTTGGCCATGAGCCTTGTGGTCAAGCTCGTCGTTACACAGTCTTCTAACTGTACTTCTAAATGTGCTCCATAATCAGATTGCCTCAGTGTTGGCCCATATAGAGACACTAATGCTATCTCGTTTTTAACCTAGAATGCTGCACGCTCTAGGAAGGTAGTCTTGTTCGTAATGGAGGCGATGACGCCTTTACGTACGGCTGGACATGACATGTACCGATCTAGCGCTAGAAGTCGGGCAAAAAGCACCAACACTAAAGATCTGTGTGAGAACCGAACATTGAACCGAACATTGAATGTGAATGTAATGATGGAATAGACAAGCTTCGGCTAACAGCCATCACTTTATTGTTTTCCCCTGTCCTGTGTTTGTTACCACTAGTGTACCTAGTGCTGCACATGGACCCCCCCCCCCCCCCCAGAACAATTTCGACCTAGGTTCAGCATGCACATACATGCCAACCTGGAGGCTTGAGTTTCCCAGACAACGACGCTGAATTCCCTTGATTTTGACCGTTTTCCCTGGACACCAATTTTTTCGCGCATCAATCAATAGCAGATGCATTTTTCATGACTGCTGCTCAAGCAAAAGGGATGTTATTGCATTGAGCTGTAACTGCACAAATAAACTTTGTGTTTACTACCAAAATAATATACCGGCGATCCGTTGCAGTTCCACATGGTTTTTTTGTCTACTACGTGCTGTGTGTACTTACAACGGATCTACAAGTTCAAGGAAATACTGGAAAAGCGTCAAAAAAGGAAAACCTTGATTTCAAAAGTTCCATCTCAAATCCCTGGACTTTCGCAGGACATCCCTGGACTCCGGGACAAACACCCTATTCCCTGGACTCTCCCGGGAAACCCATGACGGTTGGCATGTTTGCATGCACATAATCGACATGGGTGACATGCACCGGCCATCCTACAGATACATTGTGTTCGGCCGTGCACCTCCGGGAAGGGAGACCAGCTACCCCCCCCCCCCCCCCTGCTATAATAGGCTTGCACCATTTTCTCTCTGTTTCGGTGCTGTGTCTAGCTGTTAGCTGTGGAGACCCTGGTCGGCCGACGGGTGGCTTTACGACAGCCACGGGTTACAGTCTTCACAGCGTGGCGAGTTTCACCTGCCAGCCAGGCCTAGTGCTGTGTGGTGCTGCGAAGGCTGAATGTCTGAGCAATGGGCTATGGTCCTCCCCACCACCCCACTGTATGAAGAAAGGTGAGCTGTACCCTATCAGCAAAAGAGTAATTTATTTTGCGGAAAAATTGATTCGATAACTCAGAAGCTGCGACGGACTCTGCCGTTTGAAAATAATTGAACGAACTTCCTCGCCATGGTGTGATGAATGTGAGCCACGAGCGCAGTGTGGAGAGGTGAACAGATTCAAATAAAATTGTTTCCATAGATTTATAACCAAAAAATGTGTTCTCGTTTGGAGACAGAGAGCATTAGAGATTTGTTCCAATGTCTGATGACTCGTGATGACTCGTGATGACTCGTGATGAGTTAGTCGCAATCTGGTATCAATGTACTGTATAAGTACAACTTTTCGTTTACAATTAACTTTCGCTGTACCGTAAAATCCCGCCAGAGCGCCCCTACCTCCTCGACGCTTCAGGTGGGAAGGGGCGGATGGGCGAGTCCTACTTGCCGCATTCAGTACAGTACATGAACAAGTACTCACCCTACGAAAACTGTTCGTGCATCTCGTACACCGACCAAAGGTCAAGAGCCAGGAGTCGTACAGACCCGTCAAAACTCAGGTTTTGTGCGATCCCTGGTCAAGAGGGTGGGCACTGTTGCGTACATTTCCAATGGGGTCGAGCACGCGTCTGCAGTACAGCACAGCATCACAGACTGTGACAGAGTCATACGAGGATACAATCAATCGCGTCCCTGACAAGAAGTCAGGTGGGGAGGGACGGATGGGTGAGACGGGGCGCTCTGGCGGGATTTTACGGTATTCGTTAGGGGGCACGAAATAACTAAAGTGTGTACCAAAGTACAGTTTTTTTCTGAATGTTCGGGGCGAAAGACCTCGACCAAAAACGAAATTTAGTACATAACAAGCCTGCTGGTGGAGTGATCTGATAAAAGATTTCGTGAACGAAAATTTGTACTTACACAGTACTCTATATAAGATGAATGGTGATGCAGATGCTCATGTATGGTGATGCAGATGCTCATGTATGGTGATGCAGATGCTCATGTATGGTGATGCAGATGCTCATGTATGATGATGCAGATGTACATGTATAACCGCTGAGAGTATGAACAGCATGAGGCAGCTTGTTTCAGAGCAGGCATCTGGGTTCTGTCGAACTCGGGGCAGCTGGTGAGTTCCAAGTTAGTGCTATGGCCTCTGGTTACGCCTGTCTCCCAGCTCAAGCTTGACAGAGAAGATACCAGGCTGTAAGGCTACGTACTGTCCAGTATTTTCCGGAGTATAAGCAGCACTGACGTAAAAGCCACACCTCCCATTTTTGCCATGTAATACAGTATCAATCCTATTTGAGCCCCGGCCAGCGAAAACCAGCACTTGTGTACTTGATATCAATCATCAAAATGTGACGTCAAAGTTTGGGACGCGCAGTGAGCTGGCTTTTGAAGATTCTTTTCGATCGAGTGGGTGTCTTTGTTGTCAAAGGAGTTTCAAGTGTCTTCAGATGTCTCTGGTCATTGATTTTAGCGCTAGGTGAGAGCTCGTCACACAGAGGTTGAGTTTAGACACAGCGATGGCGACAGGTGTCGCGACAAAGACTTAGGTCCAGAGTTGTCAGCGTGAGACTCCCTGTACGAAGCGGCGCTGAAAGTTAGTTCGCGATCGGAATTATTTCTTTGTTGGCGATCTCGCTGAGTTTGTCCAGCAGTGGCGAGTGTCATATGCATAGCAACGAAGAGCCCTCATAAAATCGACACTGGATACTGGTGGCGACGATAGTCAGTGCTGAAGAAATAGCGACTGCGAGGAGAAGCTGAATGTCGACCCGCTGAGCGATCCGTATTTCTACATCGACAACAATGATGTTGCAGACACTGATGGAGGGCTTCTCACGGCGCAAAACAGAGCGTAGTATTCTCAGTACTCTACCTTGCCAGACGACACCAAGCTGGCTGCTGCCTGTGTTGAGAAAGGGGATCCCTAAAAACTCAAACCGGCTGAACGCTTTGGGGCAACATGTTCACGTGCTACAAAACGCCAGCATTCGCTCATATCATTGAAATACAATTATGCTGAAATCATGGTCTGAGTGAAAGTGTGCAAGGGAGTGGATGTCAGTAGTATTGATCAGTACATCTATCAGTATGGCAAGCTTTGGGACAATGCCCAAACTGCCAGCGCAGAGGTCCCTGAACACAATTTGGAAGGCCAGCCACCAATCATCGTTTTGCACTCTGGTGTTGTAAAGAAGGTAGTGATGTATACGGAATATCGTCACTGTGACTTCTGAACTACTCATGCCTGCACAGGCTGCAGCACCAAGAGGGCAAGCCTGACTTGCATTCTATTTACTTACATGTACCTGTTCCACATCACAATCAGAAACTGTAGGATCAACTTGCATGGAGTCACTAGGCATGGATGCTGCGCCAACTGTACCGAATCTTGACCTCTCTGACTTCAAACTCTATTTTCCATGCTTTCGCTTATCAGATTGTCACCAAACTTGATAACTTGAATGATTAATAGTGTAGAAACAATTTCGAGGGAAAAAATAATTTTTGAAAAAATTACACATGTTCAGGTTTCTGCTGGCTGGGGCTCATTTATCACCGTTAATTTGGTCATCGGAGTATTACTCGCACCACCATTTTTTGAGTGAATTTTGAGTGTTCAAAGTGCGACTTATACTCCGATGATCAAAGTAGCGGTGATAAATATGATTGATACTGTATTACGTAGCAAAAAAAATTTGCGGAATCATGTTTAGCCAAAGTACGGTTAAAGCGAACACGGGAATTCCAATGTTGTATACGTTGCTTGGCTCATAACAATCGTTGAGGGGAGACGTAGTGAGTTCCTTTGCCTCTGCTTAGTTATATCATTTTCTGACCTCTGTACAGGATGCGCACCAACTTCTGGTGATGGGTGTGGTAAACGTCGAAACAACTGGTGCTCCATTCCGTATTCTGAGGATAATGACCTGCAGTCATTGCCAGTGCGCATTGATTGTGTTGTGAGCCTGCACGAGGTGCATTTAGAGAACGAGACAATTGCTGGCCTTCAAGTTCGCGCCAACCGCCCGTTCAACAGTATATTGTGAGTGCTTGACTAATGTACTGGTGGAGTGTGCTTGACTAGTGTACTGGTGGAGTGTGCTTGACTAATGTACTGGTGGAGTGTGCTTGACTAGTGTACTGGTGGAGTGTGCTTGAGTAGTATACTGGTGGAGTGTGCTTGACTAGTGTACTGGTGGAGTGTGCTTGACTAGTGTACTGGTGGAGTGTGCTTGACTAGTGTACTGGTGGAGTGTGCTTGACTAGTGTACTGGTGGAGTGTGCTTGAGTAGTGTACTGGTGGAGTGTGCTTGAGTAGTGTACTGGTGGAGTGTGCTTGACTAATGTACTGGTGGAGTGTGCTTGACTAATGTACTGGTGGAGTGTGCTTGTATGTGCACAGAAGTACATGTACTGCAGGGTTCTAACCAAAGGGGGTAGGGGTAGGGGGGGGGGGCAGCCCCCTGCCCCACTCTGTTTGCGCCCCGCCCTGTGAAAATGTGCCGCCCCTACTAATTTTCCGATTTTCACGCTTTTCATGCAGTTCGACGAAAATGCAGTCGAAACTCACTAGTTCATAAAGTTTTTGGTTCATTTGTCTGGGGCGAAGTTGGGGATTCGCCCCATACGTTGCATTTAGCGTGGTAAGACAATATTGGAAAGTGGAAAAATGGGATACGGGGTAACTGTTTCCCATGCCTGCCCCCCCCCCCCCCCCGGCCCCTACTATTTTGACCTAGCAAGAACCCTGTTCTGCAAAACCGGAAAGTTTCTGTAGAGATTCATGCTCCGTAACCTTGGTTCCTGAAGATGAGCTTTGCCCGAATTTTTGGAAGAATTTGTAACCATGAGATCGTTTTTGAGTAGTTGTATATAAATGTTTGAAACTTAGGCTCAGGTAATTTTACCTAAATTAGAACGTGACCTAAAACTCACAAGCCTATTATGCCACACAGTGTTCAAAATGCATTTTTTGGATCTGGAAAACGGGTTTACCGCATTTTTCGCGCCACCAAACCATTGATTGTGGGGAAATAGTGAAAATATCACACAACCGAAAACGCCCGGTTGTGCAGTACATCAAGGATCATTGATTGATGGCTATGCCTTGGTGCATGGGCTTACCAAATACGTGCATAGTTTGATTGATCTTGGGCATGCTCAGGACTTGCATGTAATGTCTTGCTCACTGCCATATGCTACATATTTTACAAACTCATTGCACCATCATTCTGCCTATTACCCGATCTACTGCTGCTGGTTGTGCCTCAACCAGGAAAAATGCATATCAGCAGCTTAGACAAACCGACTCGAAGTGGTTCTAAAAACTTGGCGTTCCGCTTAGTCGAAGAAGCACTACAATGCTTCTATGTAAGAATGCTTGCTTTTCCGATGTTATAACAATTCGATGCATGTGGTGTGGTCATGTCGTGTTCTTGCTGTGTAATCTTTGCCGCAGATGTAAGAAGAATATATCAGAAGCAGAGGAGCGCTTCGGCAACTTGTTTTTCTCCTGCCAGCTCTACAAGCTTCCCTTCCTCTACACGCGGAATAACTTGCCTCCGTGGCAAGTCGTTCAGGTCGTCCTAGTCTCTTCCACCGGCAGGTTATATGGAGGGTCAGCATTAGCCAACGAGATATCCGCAAATCCGATAGAGCCAGAACAGTGTAAGTGTATCAAGAATTAATGTATAATCAGCCTCAATAATGTATAACAAGAAGTTGCTCATAACGACGCACAACATACTGGCCATTTGACAGCATGCTTTCCGCCTCACAAATAACAAATTCCCAAATACCAACTATTTTCTCGTGGACAATTGAAGGTCGTCATTCGCAAGGTTGAGTGTATTTTTAAAGCCAGATAGCAATGCTATGTCACCGTGTTCCTGCTGGTTGCATTGATTGTGATTTGGTATTATAGTGTGTGGACTTGAGTTGCTCAAGTATCTTTTACATTTGTGTTTCCCCTTCCGGTATGTGTTCTTAGTCGACCTCTTCCACTGTTGTTACTCCTGGTTGATCATGGGAAAGCCTATTCTCTCATTGTGTATCAGCCGCATATCACGCACATGCAGTGCCTTTATTTAAAAAAACTCGAACATCAGGTCACTTTTTTTAGTTTCAAGAACTCGAACCTCAGTTTACTAAGGTGAGGTACATTTGGATCAGTTGTATCTCATTTTCTGTTCATTTTTTTGTTGCGTTCTGTTGTGCAGTTTCTGAAGCGCCTGGTTCCCAAGCTGTGGACATTGTCTTAGTGGCAAGCCATGCTTCATTCTTCACTCATCGGCTGTTCATCACGTTTTTACTGCAGCATCTTGAAACGAAGCTAGTGACCCACAGCTTAACAGCAAGCAGTCACAACCAATACTCGCTAGTTTGGGCAGATGAAAATGATAATGGTACGAGCAATGTTACCGGAAATGTTAATTCCACTGACTGGCTATCGTTCCGCCACACATTACGGAATATCTTGCCCGAGACGACGTCTGAGGAACAGACCAGTGCCTCTGTAAGTCAGCATCAGTACCAGTTCCCCACTGCGCAGCTTGACACGCTGCTTAGCCAAGACTGTAACCACTCCCTGATCAGGCGACGTGTGATTGTGCTCTTGCTGGAGAAGCAGTTGTCGCCGGATTTCAGTATGCATGAGGTTATTCCAGCTGTTCAGCAGTGCGGGCCCATCTCAGTGCCAACACATGTTGTGCTGCTGTACACAACACAAGTGACTACCCTCTCTGACAGTAACATAGCTGGCTACAGTGCAACTAAGCATTCCTTCACGCCATGCGCTGACTCAGCAGGCTTTTGCAAGCCTAGCGCCACGTACGAGATTGGCGTTCGAAGCCTCTGGGATGAAACGCGGATCGCTTTAAGCATGGACGGATCATTCTGGGACATCAGCAATGTTACCGGCTCGCATACTGGACCGCAATTTGTTGAAGCCATCAGCAATGATATCATTGCTAGCCTAACCGGAAACTATGACTTCATTGAGAACCCAACGTGTCTTCATCTCCACCCCATATCGCAGGAGACTTCAGGCTACTACCCACTGGTCAATCACACCGATATCACTGCTCGACTAACGACAGACAGAGGTATGTGGTGCAGCCAGATTCCCTTTCTAACCCAGTTTTAGTTTTCATTGTTTGAAACTAGATTCATAAGCTTCATGCATACGTCACAGACATAGTTGAAACGGAAACAGTAGGAAGAAAACTATACTGCCACAAGCAGAACTTGAGCCAAGGACCTTCGCTTATGGCCAGCAATGAGGCACCCATAGGCTATGGTGTACTCAGTGTCCCAACAGCGGCCGTTCGATTTTCTCACCTGACCAGACTTAATATGTAGAAGCTCACACTTCCTCTGAGTCCACACAGGCTGGTAGAACGCAACACTTACTGTACCCAAATACTCCACATACAAGCTAGCACTTGAGCTGCCTCAATGCAAAATATATTGGATGGGTTGAGGAAGTTGCAACGGGAATTGGATTCCAACGGTGAATTTTCGGGCAAACCTTTTAACCCGTTCAGGTCGACCGAAAATTCAAATCTTGTTCTCATGCGGTGTGGGTATATGTTATGATAATCTTGGTCTGCTGTTCCATGAGTGACTATGGTCAGTCTTTCTTTCCCACGATGCGCGGTGCTCGATTTGAGACATAGCTTTATAATTGACCACTGTATTTCAGACTCTTTTCATAGTGAAAGAATCAGAAATTGGAATTTGTCACATTGTCAGTGTATACTAATTCTATACAGTGCTTTCCCAGGCACTTTGCTATGGTTGAATATTGCTTGTTGCGCATTAACTATGTCTATGATCACAGTGCTCGTTCTTACAATGGGTGGTAGAGACTCTCGGATGGAAGACATGCCTGAATCGTCGTCGAACACGCTTGACATGTCCTTGGGAATCGGCTTGGGAGTTGGTCTTGCCGTTATTGTTGGCATGATTGTGGTGGTGAAGCAAACCGCAAATTGCAAGCGGATTGCTCGGTCAACTCCTCTCCGGCATAAGTTCAGTAAGTCTACTTTAAGTGCATGCACTCGGATGGAGAGCTAAGGATTGGGAATTTATAAAGAAAATGACCAAGGAACTACAAGTTATGCTAAAATGTGCACTACAATATCCTCTGAGCCAGGCTGTTGGAGTGCGCATCCAAAACTTGCTTGAGCTGATAGCCAGTTAGTGGTAGAACGTCAGTATCGTCGGTCAGTGTCGTGCAATGTTATCGCATGAGCTGATTGTTTAGTAACTGGTAGTGTTAGTGGACATTATACCGTAACTTGTAGTTCCTTGGTCTTTTTCTTTACTATACATGAAGCGGATATCATCTGAAACATGTGTCAGAGATTTTAATTCACGCCACACCTGGTATTAATTGGATCCATTCATTTGTTAGGGTGGTAGTCACAGAGACTGACCACTTTTAGGCATGTTAACACTGGGCCGATATTTTGGCCGAACCTCCGACGCCGACTCCAACTAGGCCAACTGTCGGACTACATTTTCACACACAACGGCACACGATTATGTTGTCGGCCTGTTTAGGTCACAAACGTACACATACATGTGCTGTACAGCCGCGATAGATAGTAGTAGACGCTAGACAGTGTCTACTACTATCTAGGTTAAGATGCACGTTATTTCCAACGTGACGCGAAAGTTCATCTCGCGTTATTTGGCTCGCGTGTTGAAAACAACGCGAGTGACCTGCAGCTCACGTCGAAATTTGGAGTTTTACGCCAAATTTGACGTGAAATTGCACGCACACGTCGGAAATAACGTGCATCTTAACCTCTCTACTATCTGATAGTTTCCACACCAGCTACAGGTACATGGATGCGCGTAATGGGGTTTCTCGGCACTTGTGCCAGTGGTTGCGAGACTTACCCTTTCGCCCCCAAAGTTAGGCGCTGCATCGGCCGCTAGAATTTACCAGGTGTTAGCGGCCGTCGTGAGTTGCCTTCGGGAACGGACACGATCATTTTAAAAGTAATTTCCATTACTTAACGTTACAGGTCCAAAGGCCTGAATAGGCTAGCGTCTAGTAGCGACACAGTACAGCCAGTTCATGATGCACCGCTGTTCTCGGTTGTCATGGTGAAAAGCCGATGATTGGCTGGAGGCCCACTCCACCACGTGCAAGCACTGAAAGTCGGCCAATGTTTCGGCCAATATGAACCAGTCGACACTTGGCCAAAAAATCGTACAAGTAAAGGACCAGAAATTAGTCAAAATCAGGTACAACAACTCCATTCAGACAAAGCGAATTTTGCCCAGATCTCGACGGTTTTTCGCACAACTGCATGTCAGCCAAAAATCGACCCAGTGTGAACCAGGAGTTATGCAGCCCTGTATACGGTGGGAAATTTAGGGGTTTGTACTGGAACTGGAAGCTGACAAGGGGACTTTAATGTACCTTTCATGGAGCTATCGTTAGGTGTAATTGCCAGAATGCATGAAGGTGTTAGGTCAGCATAAAGTGTAGTCTGCAGAGTTGTGCTTGCCGGTTTCCAGTGGTGACCAGTAGTACAATACTTGTACAGTTGATATACATCCCCGTCAAAACCGGTACGCTTGGTCAGGCCATGGCCGGTAGAAGATTTTGGCTACCAACGGGTATTCTCTTCCAAAATAGTCATGGGTACTCGCCAAGATGCTTTAAACAGTATGACAGGCAATGGCAGGTTCAGATTCAGAGATCTCTACAAGGGGTTCCAGTCAGAGAGCAAACTGAATGACTGATACTTGTACATGTACATGCATATGGCTTCCAGTATCACATTTTCAAAATGTAGGGGTACAACCAACCCCCCCCCCCCCCCCGGATCCACTACTGGGCAATGGAATGGCCAGAGCAAATCTAGACCTGGTTCTGCCGGTTCTCGTATTCACTCATTTTTGTTGTGCCTGTAGGATCTGGAGTTGATGTGTGCTCTTCCGACATGAATAGTAACCATACTGGATCTTTCAACGCAACACCACTTCCTACACCACTTCCACCACCACTTCCAACACCACTTCCACACCTGATGTCGCAACAGATCCCATTGGAGGAGCCCGGGCCAGTTCCAAAACAGACCCTTTCCCAGATACCACAAGTTCCGCAACATACTGAGCTACAGGTCCGACAACAGGTCCTGCCAGAGATGCCGCAGCAGACCCAACCAAAGATACAACCGCCGACCCAGCCAAAGATGCAACAGCCGACCCTGCCAAAGACGCAACAGCCGACCCGGCCAAAGATGCAACAGCCGACCCAATCAAAGATGCAACAGCCAACCCAACCAAAGATGCAACAGCCAACCCAGACAAAGATGCAACAGCCGACCCAACCAAAGATCCCAAAGCAGCCACATTTCGCAGTGCAGAACCAGCAGCAGATATCACCTTCGACTGCGTGTATACTAAATGGGCAAGAATACAGCCTGCTTGCGAGCCATGACACACCGACTTTCAGCTCTCGCACCCATTCTACATGTTTAACAATTGCAGGTGAGGAAAACTATACGACCAGTACTCCAAGTACTTCCTGTGCAGGAAGAGTAGCGCTCGAGAATGATAGCATTATTGACAACAGCAACCCTAAGAGTAGAAGGAGCTTGAGCGGCGGGCAACCTCCATCCTGCGTCAGCATTCCCATCATATGTTCATGCAGCGGACGTGTTCAGCATAGCAACAGTGATCTATTTGAATTCCCTGCGGATGCACTGTACAGAGATACAATACCACGTTGTCACGGAATAGATTCGAGCACCGTCGAAGGCATACTAGCAGAGTACACTTCGACAGCGATTCGCAACTACGACGCACCATTCCACATCAGCAGCCCGACCCAGCCTGACATTCTGCCATGTCGAGAGGTGTGTGATCTGCTCAGTGAACCAATCTTCATAGAATCTGCCCTAACAGCAAGTGATGCAAACATCATCTGCGAGATTACGGTCTTCACATTGTTCTATATTCTCCGGTCGGATTTTGACAGGTATCAGTTCTGGCTGCACGAATACGATGGCTTTCAATGGCTGAAGCGTGAGGAGTTGATGGAGGAACACTTCCTGTGGGATCGCAATGGTGGGCAGGAGAGCGTTTCCGCCACATTCAAGTTCTCGACATGCGGCGTATTCATCATGATTGCGGGGCCGAAGGACGGTGGGCTCACGGCGATTCCGATGAATTCGTCAGCAATGTTTCGGCCGACAGGTACGGAGCACGAATCAAGAAGCAGCAGTGGTGTGTCCTGTCCAACATCAGTCACCGTCAGTGGCTCTGTGGGACGGGCATCACTCGCGTTCAGCAATAACTTCGAGCGAGACTTGAGTGACGGTGCTGGGCGCAATGATCGCAATCGGGTGCAGTTATCAGCTTACCAACCGCTGGCGGCTGAAAGGTTTGTACCATAGGTCAACTTCTTTAGTTCTGGAGGTTTCAACAGGGGAAGAGGCTGCAGAGAAAGCTATTGTCACCACCAGGACTAGACTCTGGGGATTTTGGTTTAGGCCAGCAATGAGGCATTAATGCGCTTCAAATTATTATGCACTAAAATGAACAAAGAAAAATGTGTACTGGCAAAGACTGCGGGTTAATATAAAAACTCTGCTGTGGGTGACTCATCACAGCTCAAGATAGAAGTCGCACAGTGTGGGTTATGACTTGTACTCCAGGGGCGCCGGAAGGTATTTTAGTGTTGTACGGTCAGCCATCTGAAGTACAGGTTGCTTGTGGGGGAGGGGGGGCTGAGCCGAAAATTTTGGAAAATTAAAGTCCAGATCAGTGCATTTTATTGATTCACGGGGCACCTGGGTCAAAAGGTGGTACGGTCAATACCGTAGTGACCGTACCGTGTCCGACGCAGCTGTACTCTTGCTACTAGTGAAGTTTCTTTTAACCTGAGTCCTTCAATGTTTCATGTTCTATTGGAGAAAGCAGTCCGGCAGGTCACACTGACACCTGTTTCATTATTTTTGTAAGTGTTTTGATGTATTGCAATCTCTTACCATTTCCACTCAATCTCATCTTTCTACTTCCGTTTCAGACCACCGGAAGCAGTTCGTGTGCTCCTACTGGGGCAGATGTTCCTTGACTCAGACAGGCCCAAGCAGTGGAATTTCAAGATCTTTGTGTTCGCCGAGGGTACGCGCGAGCGTGACGTCAAGAGCAGGGTAAAGTGATATATGCCCTTAGTTTGACGGGTGGAGTAATATATGCCCTTAGTTTGACGGGTAAAGTGATAACTATAATTATGCCCTTAGTCTGAGGGGTAAAGTGGTATTATGGCCTTAATTAGCAGGGTAAAGTGATATATGCCCTTAGTTTGACGCTTCCGTGAGGATTGTATTCATTCTTCTGGGCGCATGATATTTAAAGCTGCTTCAGAATGCTTTGTTGTACATGTCGACTGGTCTTCAGGTTGCATGACATTCTGAGCATGTTAGTTTTGGTTAGTACCCCCGAGGATTGACTACATTCCAACCGGCCGTGTTCAAGTCCACCCCAGTGCGGAAAGACTGGACGTGATTTCAAGACTTCCAGTTTTCTAAATGTGTTGATTTTTTATTTGAGCTAATTTAATGTGATTTTCCTGGATATATACCGGCATAGTCAGTACCTCTTCCTCATGTTGCCTGATGATTGCGGAAGCGTGAAACGCTGAGTAGCAGCAAACAAGCCTTGATTGGCCTTGTTCTTCTGTGAATTGTCCTGCATATTGTAGAAACTTGTGGAACGGTCCTGGACACAGGGACACTACTTTGACCTGGCTTGGCAAGGTGACCTGCCACCGCGTGGATGCAGACCTCAGGCAGCGACACGCTCCCTCGGCTACACCGTACCAGGCGTGAAGCCCGGAGACCGACTGTGTGTCTGGTTCGAGCCGCGCAACGACCATTTCCAGCTCTGCGAGGCGTTCCGCAGCCCGCCAAAGGTATGAAGGGTCAACATGATTGTAAAAGCGCGAGAGTACGGTATCACGTGATGCCTAGGTGTCGTACTTTCTGCCTGACGTCAGTAACAGTGGTGGACAGTTACCTATAACTCGTGTCCATGCGTACCTTTCTACTGGACATTTATTCATGCTATCAGCTCAGTATCCAAGTGCCTTCTGGGCTTTAGTGCTTTAGCAGGATACTATTTCAGTTTAGATCTAAGAATACACGTGCAGTAAAACCTGGTGTAAACGACCTCTGGGTTTAGCGACCACCTGCTCTTAACGACCGTTTTTCCATGCACTGACAGTTCTGCGCACACACTTGTGGGACCTGGTTCTAAAGACCACCTGGCTTTAATGACCGCTTTTGCTTGCACCGTGGGGTGGTCGCTTACACAAGGTTTCACTGTACAGTGTGCATCACTCGGAGGGAGTTGTGGTTGCTCATGACAGTGCACAGTACACCAAGGTGCAGGTGTGTGTACAATACACCAAGGTGCAGGTGTGTGTACAATACACCAAGGTGCAGGTGTGTGTACAGTACATCAAGGTGCAGGTGTGTGTACAGTACATCAAATGGAAATATCAGGAACTCGGGATTACCTGCAGGCTGTCGAAGTGCAACGGCCCAATGTCCTTTTGAGTTTCCTGGTAGGCAGTTGCGTGTCAGTCAAGGCTCAGGTCCGCTAAGCGGCAACACAAGCTGCACTGATTGCCTCAGCAGCCTGCTTTGCTCATCGTAGAAGCAGTGTGGAGCTGCAGGGAACATGGAGCTGCAGGGAACATGGAGCTGCAGGAGTACAGAGTAGTGGGCACAGATAACAAGTTAATACATGACGGAGGGAAGCAGGTTTTGATTGGTCCGGCCATACCATTGTCTTTCATACCATTGTCTTCCATACAAAGTGTTTGTGTATGATATAGCGGGGACACAGTCACATGACCTCCTCAGCAGTAAACACACGTTGATGGCCAAACAGTTAGTCAGGCCATGGCCTGACCAACCGGCCATGGCCTGACCAACCGGACAGGGTTCCACCGTCCCTGTGTTCGAGAGGTTCCGCTCTAGCGTTACGTAAAGAAGTAAATGTTAGTAGAGTACTGTCCGGCGCCGAAGAACGGCCAGGCTAGAATTTCACCGATTTTTAAGACCGGTCTAGGCTGGATTTTTGCAGATAAGAACGGAAACCGTAATATACACTATAATGTACACTCAGACGTATAACTCTGTATACATGTACATGTAAAACTGTAGCATCGAATAAGAACGAAACTGCTGTGTTGGCTGAAGATAAGAACGGGCTAGGCTAGAACCCTGACCACCCAGTTCTTTGGTGCCCGACTGTACTGTAGTGTCTACATAGAGTAACAGGTACATACGTTGGGTTCTACTAACGGAGGTGCTCCGTAAGTGGATTGAGGTATAAGTTTATAACTCTCTCCATAGGTCGTCCACTGACTGTGGTGTTCGGAGTTGCAAGGGTAGCTTCATGGTTCCGAAACTCCGTATGGTGGAACACGGATCTGCATACAGTTTATGTAAGACTTTGCGTAGAAGGATTGCGTTTAGTACTAACGTCATTACGTTGTGCGAAACCTCTCTATTGGCAAGCAACCAGACCGATTTCTTTCGACTTCAATTCCACTGTCTGCTCAGATTACACTGCCGATGGACATGATTTGCAGCTGGGGAGGCCGACACGTACAGGAGGTAATCGAGCACGACATTGGTGCCACCGTCCTTGACGACCAAGCGAATCCGCTGCGCTTCCAAAGCAACATAAGCATCCGCAAGATCTGCGGCAGCGGTTGCTTCGAAGACACCATACATTCGGGTGCTGTCAACTTTCCTGTCGGTCGCAATTATCCCATCTGCCTAGAAACTGTAAGTGCTAGTTCTTATCGCAATTGTAGATAGGACCCCAGCTAGGTATGAGACAAGAGTCACTGAGATGCTGGTTAAGTGACAATATTCCACGGAAAATCACTTGCCATTGTTTTCACGGTAATCTCTCTTGTACAGGTTTAAATCCCGGTGTGTATAGCCTTGGATTCATATCCCCGGGCTCATATTCCAGGGTACATAGCTGTGTGTGTGTGTGCGTGTGTGTGTGTGCGTGTGTGGGTGGGTGTGGGCCTGTGTGCATGCAATTGTGTGTGTGTGTGTGTGTGTGTGTGTGTTTGTGTGTGTGTGTGTGTGCATGAATGTGTGCATGCGGGCGTGTGTGTATGAATGTATTTATGTCTACAGAATCTGTGAGCAGGGCACGCACCCAACTACTTGAGGAAGTGAATATCAATGACCGCTGCCAATATGGGTTGATGCCCGGCTAGTTTATACTCATGTGTGCATGCGTGCGTGCGTGTGTGTGTGTGTGTGTATGTGTGCATGCGTGTGTGTGCGTGTGTGCCTACTTCTCATTGTGTGTATAGGAATTATCTGTACTTTATGCTAGCATAGAATACTTATAGAATACTTGACAGTGCAGTCATTTGTCAAATTAAGACATTTATCTTGTTCTTGAGCTTTGAGCCGTTAGAATGTTTTGATTTCTCACGAACTGGTTAGCTAGAAATGGCATTGGAACCCCAACTAAGTGTCAAGGCTTCATTTACAAAAGTAAGTTTTTATTCTAAGGTTTCATGCTCCAAGAGCAGCCATTACTTCCCCGATTGTAACTATGACTTTGCAATGCGTGCAGTTGCTCGTCTTCATGCTGGTGTTCCAATTAAGTGTGTCACACAGCTGCAGCTACATGTACATGTATGTATGAAGCATGTGCCTGTGGTGTTATGTGCACCATTACAATTTACGACGCAAGACGTCTCCGAGGACTTGCAAAAAGACGAGAGAGAGAGAGAGAGAGAGAGAGAGAGAGAGAATAGAGAGTTAGTAGGATCACATGCTAGTCATAACACCAATCCTCTCCATCGTGTTCCTGTATTGTATTGTATTGCATTGATTGTAAAAAAAAGAAGAAACACATGAGATCGAGTTATGCAGCAACTATCCACGACTGTAACAAGATGATAAACGGTCAGAAAGTGCGATAATAGGGCACAAAACTGACAGGCTACTGAGACATTCAGCGACGTGAGACCTAGCTCTAACACATCTCCAGTGCGCAAACCAACTTTCTGACCGTTTATCATCTTGTTACAGACGTGGATAGTTGCTGCATAACTCGTTCTCATGTGTTTCTTCGCTTTTTTACATTTTATTACTGGCTCAGTATCTGAGTTTAATTGCATTTATTGAATGTGTTTTACTTCGGTGGCTCAACAGTACAATGTACTACTGAAAAGAGGCCCGGAAACCGATCATAAGGAGATAAAAAGGAAAAAAGAAGGAGCAAACCAAGAAGTAGATGAAAACATTTCTTTCAGCATACCAGGCCCCTCTCTCCCAGACGCAAAACCGTCACCATGATTCCCGTGTGTGTCTCTGTAAGCCTAGAGTCAAAGGGTCTAGTTTAATTATAGTACAACAGAATTCTAGCCAGGTAAAAATAGTAGGGAGAGGGGGGGGGGGGCAGGGCGGGCAGGGGAAACAGATACTCCGTAACCCATTTTTTTCCATTTCCCAACATTGTCTTGCCAAGGGGAAACGCAACGCCCGCGGCCAACTCCCGACTTTAACCCAAGCACACGTAGCTCTAGGAACCCTCTGGTATTCACTATTGACTTCATTTGCGTTGAATGACATGAAAAAAACCCCCAAAAAGGACAAGTTGGTAGGGGGCATACACTCGGCCACTACACTCTGTGCAGTGCACATGCAATGACTACTAGTATGCCCCTGCATACACTGTGTACAGTGCACATGCAATGCCTCTCTGCATACACTGTGTACAGTGCACATGCAATGCCTCTCTGCATACACAGTGCACATGCAATGCCTCTCTGCACACACTGTGTACAGTGCACATGCAATAACTACTACAGTGCTGACAGCTGAAATCCGACCACTCACATCGCAAAGACCCAACACGGGATTGTGAAACTACGAAACAGGGACCGCTAGAATGTGGCCACACCGCTAAGGGGGTTGGATTTCAGTTGCCAGCACTGAAGTATGCCCCTTCAGACACTGTGTACAGTGCACATGCAATGCCTCTCTGCATACACTGTGTACAGTGCACATGCAATGCCTCTCTGCATACACTCAGTGCAGTGCTGGTATAGTAAAATTAATGGTAAATGCATGCCAGCATGCCAGCATGAAGCACCGACGTGAACACGTACCATCAAGCACCGACGTGAACGCGTGCCATACCACTGTAACCACGGTATCGGCATTGGTCGGATTTTTCTGGCGGTGACCGTATGTACTTACATGTATGTATGACACTCACAGTGACACGTGCAAACGTGAACACACACACACACACACACACACACACACACACACACACACACACACCTTTGTCTTCATCAATTTGCGAGAACTACTGTAGAGGCAGAAAATTTCGTCGGTCAATAATTTCGTCCAACTCCAAAGAAAGGGAGTTCGTCCGGTTGAAAATTTCGTCCATGAATAATAAGAGTGTATAGAAAAGTTGACAAATCGACATTAGTCCGGCATTTCATTTCGTCCAAAAGCTCCTTGGACGAAAAAGACGAAATTAAATTCCAGACAAATATTTCTGCTTATACAGTATGGCAATATGCCCAGTGAGAAGGCAGAATTTGCCTGTGCGTATGGAGAAGTAAAAGAAAGCTAAACAAACAAACACGTTTGGGTGGTTTTTGCGGGGAGCCATTCAGTAAAAGCGGAACTGATTTGTTGACTACCCGTGTCGTCACTCATTTTAGTCTTTCAATACCTTTACAGTCGCTCCATTTTATTATAGCACATAATGACATTCAGATTATTAAAAATTTGGTTCATCAACTCCCTGCCTGCCAGTAACTTTAGCAGAGTTGTCCATAGCACAAGTGGGGCCGGATTATAGGGACTGCTGCCAAATAATTCCCATAAGGCCAAAACAAAAAATAGGCTTGTTTCCGGTCGGCAACCCCTCAAAAAGGAGACTCGGTCGGCCGGAATGAAACTTTTTTTGGATACTTTTTTTGGTTCCTCAATCGTTGTGGTATTGATGGACAAGAGCACCTACACATGTACATTGTACATATATCATGGCAAGGATCAATGTCAAAGTTGACTGACTCAGACTCACTGTTCTTGTACAGCATGTGGTGTATTCCTGTTTTCGTACATCCTGAGCAATCAAGCAAACAGTTCGAGTCCTTCCAGCTCCGTTATTCTAGCTCGTATCGACCCCGGAGGTTTTCGAGCAGACATCTGAGAATCTCTGCTACCTTGTACTAGTTGTAGGTGTTTCGATTGTGGAATTCGGTTGAGATTTGACTGAATTATGACTCGTTGAGTGCACTTGCATACATGGCATTGCCACCGTTTATACATTTGGGACCAAAAAAGTTTCAGAATTTGAGAAAAAGTGGCCCGGTCGGGCGACCGGAAACAAGGTCATTATTTTGTTTTGGCCTAACACAAAGTCTAGATAGATCTACTAGATGGATGAGTACGTACATGTACATTGTACATCATGTATGTACAGGCGCGTGCGCCGGTGCCCTTTAATTAAGGGGGGGGGGTGGTTCCGGGGGGCCTCCTCCGTGAAAATGTTCAAAAAATGAAGCAAAATCCTGCATTTTGAGCGAAAAAAGGTTCCGGGCACCCAGGAACCCATACGGCGCACGCGCCTGACTGTACAAGTTAGTCTATACTACTCTTGGAAGTAATTAGTTACTTTCTGGGGGTGTCGGTGAAGAAGACCCTAAAATAATTATTATATTTAAAAATTCAGCCAATGAAACCATTGTTCAGATGCTCACTCACGAATGCAGGCGATCACGGAGCTTGACCGACGTTGAGGTAGAGAGCTGCCAGCTACGCTAAGCTACTGCCTAGTCATCTTGCTAACAGTACTTGCAGTTTCGGCGGCCATAACTCTTTCTTTCAAAACGTTCTCCATTCGAAACAGCCTGCTACTGTAGCTGGAGAACAGCCCTGCATGGCATGGTTTGTATACTCGGTATCACAGATTGCATTGACCACCGGTCACCAAGGGAAGCTAGTGATTTTGTGCTTCTGTAGCCAGCTGTGTGGAAACTAATCTTTTTTTAACGTTTCTCTCTACTCAACCTGATACAGCCCATCGGGCATTGGTTGTGAGACTTACCGCCTCACCCTCGCCGTTAGCGCGTTAGGCGCTGCATCTGCCACCTTGGTATCACAGGCATGGTGTCCTGGCACGAGCGAAACTAATTACCGTACTTCCTAAGCTGGTTGTGTTTCTCAACGTTGTAACGCGAACGTGCGAACTAACGTGTTACTTTACTTACTTGCAGCCCCCCCCCCCCGACCCCTCATACGGGCATACACATACACACATGCACGCTACACACACAGTCAGCCACCCACACACGCGTGCGCGCGTATGTACACAAAACAGAACTGGTAACACATAAACACCGATGGAGGAACATGCGCATACGGTAATAATAATAGTAGACACATACAATGAACATTCTGTGGCCGGAGAAATTGGACCTCGTGATAAAGAAGCGCCACCTGATTCTAGTGACCAGTAGGGTGTGTGGAGTGCTAGGGCTGTGTGTTGCCTAGCACTATTCTATTGTATGCATCGTGAGCTTGGATTGCTCTGGCCAGCATGATTGTACAAACACTGCTGCATACACACACACACACACACACACACACACACACACACACACACACACACACACACACACACACACACACACACACACACACACACACACACACACACACACATTAACTACAACACACAGCAGCTTGCGGTTAGGAGGGTGCTGGCCAGCGAAGTGAGAGGCTTCAGAGAGAGCAGGATCTTGGCGGAGCCAAGAGGATAGTCACGTCCAAGGGACGAAGACCGAGAGCCCTGAGTAGCCGGAAATGAGCATGGCCAACACCCCTTTATTTACTTTATCAAAGTAAATGAGAGATGAGAAATGGGAGGTGGGTGGGTGAAACACAATGATCTGACAAGAGTGATCCGCACACAGAACGAATCGAAATATATCATACTACGAGCAAGGAAGAATGATCGTCGCACAGAACGGATCGAAAATATAATAGCAGAGCAAACTCTAGCAAGACATGCAACGATGCATGCCACCCACGTTGAGTTACAAGCAAGCGCCATCATAACACCGCCAAACCCACCCACGTTAAGCTACGAGCAAGCGTCATCGTAACGCCGCCACACGCCTTCCACATCGGAGGCGAGCGACACGCATGAACGCCAAACTTTAGTATGACACGTTGAGTGCCTACGACCCATGCCGCCTACGTTGAGCGTCGCGCATGAATGAATGTCGCGTTGAGTGTCACGTTGTATGACACATAGAATGCCACGATGCATAGAGTACCATGTGAGCACGTACAGCGCACGTTCATAGCAGCATAGTTTGAGTGGTAGCACGAAGCAGCCGCGTGCACCCA